TATATATATATATATATATATATATATATATATATATATATATATAAGTTATTGAAGTTAGAACAAATAACTAAGGTAAGTGAGCAAAAGCAGAAGTTGTAAAATTTTGAAAAATAATTTATTTAGTTACTAAATTAAAAAAACTTTTACCAACTAGCAAAAACTAACCCGTAATACGGGTCATGGTCAGTCTGGTACATAATTAATGTATATAGTGTACACAATTAATGTATATATAATATATGTATATAGTGGCTGTATTCCGCAATTTAAAGTAGCGAATTCTTAACTAATATCCTTTTAGAAAAACGACTTTAAATTGAAAAAATTAATCTATCTGTAAAATAACATAAAAAGTATGAGGAGGTAAAATAATTTACCAATTACTACTCAACACATTATTGGAGTAATATACAACTGACATAGGTCATATCAGTGTAAGGCAGAACCATTTTTATCGACATTCCTAGGTTTAACAAAAATTAATAACACTTCACCATTCTTTAAATTGAAAAAAATATCAACTAAATTTTTGTAATAATTTTTTTAACATGAACTTTATTTAATTATTAGGATTAAGACAAAGTTAACTTATATTATACAGGAGTTATTAACTTTCCTCGATAAATATCTCTTTGGAAAAGAAAATTTGTTATCTTAACAACATTAAATGCACACAACTAAATAAATATATTAAAAATAACTAAGATTATTATAAATAACTAAGCAATTGAATACAAATACGTTTCAAAAAAATAAAAAAATTAATTTACAATAAAACATAAGTATAACAAATTAATAAAGAAAAGTTAACTTTAATCTTTTATATTGTGTCATATGTCAAACCTAAAATAAAAATTGTAACAGCTATGTAGGCATAAAAAAAAGCATAAAAAAAAGTAGACAAAACAAAAAGTAGACAAGAAAAAAAAATGACTGGAAAACAATTTACCTGATTTTGGTAACCTGTTATCATACTTCAGTTGCTGTCATCATGCAGCAGTTTTTGTCGGTGTTATTTAACAACGTTATTTAATGCTGGCTTTTAGTAAACGTTAGTTTAATTTAGAAGACATCACAATAGATTTAAAATAATTAAATTAAAAAGCAAAATATAAAGTGCTTCAAGGAGCCAAACAATAAACATTAAAGATAAAAAATCAAATTGAGATATAAACTAATTTCATTTATATAGCTAAATATATTGTCTTGGCTTACAGTAAATTGAGGTTGATATGAAATGAAGTTAACTTATACAGGAACTACTAAGCAGCTGAGTACAAATACGTTTCAAACAAAAAAAAATAATTTACAACCAAACACGTTTATAACAAATTTGAAAAAATTATGAGAACTTTGATCTTTTATATTGCATTAATGCGTCATATGACAAACCTATAATAAAAATTTTTAACAGATAAGTAGAAATAAATATTTGTAAAACAAAGCTGACCGGACCCAGCTCTTGTTAAGTTTGCTCAACACAATTTGTTTTTCTCAAACACAACTAGTTTTTATATAATATTTGTTTGGCCTCTTTATTTCATTAATTTTAAGTAAACAGTATTTTTCTACCATTTACTAAAAATTCCTTTTGTTACTCGAAATATATTTTTCCTAAATTTTTTGACACTAATAAGGAGTTTTAGACGAAGATCTTTAACCAAACAATAAAACGTAAAACACTGATTTACATATGAATCAATGTATACACAAATCGTTCAAATTCTTTTTTTTTTTCATTATTTGACTTTTTAATGAAAATTTGTTCTTTGAAGACAGTTCCACCATTGTATAGTAAAACATTCCAAGTCAGACCTTTCCGTACACGTTGAAAAAAGAGCTAAAAGTTTTTTTTTTTTTAATTTATTAAAGTCATAATTTTGGATTTGATACATTTTTTCTTGTTTCCCAAAAATATAGATTTTGTGACTTAAAACGTTTTTGTATACATCGCTTCATATATAAGAATGTTTTCTTTCTTTCCTCAAAAGTGTTGCAAATGCAGACTAAGATAACTAATCAGTTAAACATGTAAATAAAAAATAAGTAAATCAATATTTGACAAAGTCATAAAACTACAGTATTCTCCATGTTTTTAAAGGTTTTTAGTTACGACCCCCGTGTACAAAGATCCCCTAAGATACGTACAACAAAATATTAGGCATAAAATATAAATATATATATATATATATATATATATATATATATATATATATATATATATATATATATACATATATTTATATACATATATATATATATATATATATATATATATATATATATATATATATATATATATATATATATATATATATATATATATATATATATAAATTAGTAGAAAATCACTTAGCAAAATTTTTTCTCATTTAACACTGTGTTTCATTAATAAAGACTTATCAGAAATGAACGATCAAATTAATAAAACTTCAATTTATACCAAAAATTAAATTACAAGAAGTCACATGTCTTAACTATTGCAATTTTACACACGTTTGTGTAATTTGCTGACACTATTGTAAAAGGAATTCTTTAGAAATGATTATTTAAGCTTTTTTAAAAAATAATTTATTTTTTTCAAACGGGAGTTAATGTAACTATTATTGAGCTCAATTATTTTTATATTTTTTCAGGAGAAACTTATTTTCGTGCCTGCATTCAGAAATCAATTCGGATTTTTTGTTTATAAACATTCTTGGTTGTTATGTGTAATTATTTTTAAATTTTTTTTTGTAGACATAGTATGCAATTTTCAGAAATATTGTTATATGCAGGCACTGTCTTAAGGATGGATCAATTCAGTGTGAAATCATCAATATTTTTATCTTGTAATTCCCATATATATTTTGACAGCATGGTGTCTTTTGAATAATTTTTATTTTTAAAAGATTGCTTATGATTGGCCGAACGTTTTTTCCATTCACCTTCTGTTATGCCAATATATTGTTTATCAGGTACATTCTTAGAGGAGACAACACATTTATTTACCACGTTTTTTAATAAGCAACTTCCACTCATTGGACAATTTTTTTTTTGTTTACAATTACAATTTCTGTAGTTTTTTCATTTTGAATTTCTTTTTTGTTTAACAAAGCATTGTTGTGGCCTTTTATAATTCTTTCCATATTTTTTGTGCAACTCTAGCTAACTTTAATAGTATTTCGATTAAAAATTTTTAGTAATTTATTAGAGGGCGGGAAATGCTTATCGATCAATTTTAAAAACACTTTTACTATGTTTGTGGAAACATTTTTGCTATATGGGGGGTTGAACAAAATTACATTTCTAGTTATATTTCGCTTTTTTGTGTTCTTTTTTTCATTGTCAAATTTTAATTCAATTTTAAATTTTAATTCAAATTTTATTTCAAATTTTAATTCAAATTTTATTTCAAATTTTAATTCAAATTTTATTTCAAATTTTAATTCAAATTTTATTTCAAATTTTAATTCAAATTTTATTTTAAATTTTAGTTCAAATTTTATTTCAAATTCTAAATCAAATTTTAATTCAATTTGTAATTGCTCTGTTCTTTTAAGAACATTGAGCACTCTTTTTCTAGAATACATTTTAAATTGTTTAAATATATATTAGGCTCCTTATTAACCTTTGTTAAGCACTCTTAATTGTATTTTAACATTCCGTGTAAATATGAAAACTAATAATTTCACTTACTTCTTGAAAAATATACCTATACCAGATGAAAAAAGTTATACTATTTCTTTGATTGAAAAAGTTGAGTATTTTATAAAAAGAATTCGTTGGAAAGCGCATTTTTTCTTAAAACCAAATACAAACACAGATGATGTATTTAATAATAACCAAGATAATGATAGTTATGGATTTAAAACAAAAAATACCCCACCTTTCATACATGATTTGGAAAATTTTAAAAATGACCTATTCCATTTAATTAAAACAATAAAGTTACGCGCTATAAAAAACAAATTTCTAACAGGATTAGAGTTAGATGTTAAAAAAATTAAATCAAGCCTTAATATTTTGGTTTTTGCTGATAAAACAAATAACATTTATCAACTTACAACAGAAACCTATGAAAAAGTTTTAAGCGTCAATATTACTAGTTCTTATGAAAAAGCCCCTAAAAATTTGGAAAATGCAATTAATTTAGAAGCGCAAATTATTGCTAAAAAAATAAGCCTTGATAACAGAATCGAGTCAACTGCTCCTGCCCAAGCCTTTGTAACACTAAAAGACCATGAACCAAATTTTCAAAACAAACTTCTATGTAGGATATTGGTTCCCTCAAAAAGTGAGATTGGACATGTAAGCAAAATTTAATTGGACAAAGTTAATAATATTCTTAGAAATTTGCAACAGTGGAAAAATACCACTGATGTTATAAATTGGTTCTCCATAATCGATAATAAAAATGACTGTACATTTATTCAATTTGATATTAATGATTTTTACCCCGCAATAATATATATATATATATATATATATATATATATATATATATATATATATATATATATATATATATATATATATATATATATATATATATATATATATATATATATATATATAGTGAAAACTAAATAATTATTAAGATATATTTCAATTACATAACTAAAAGTTTCACGCAATAGCGATCATCAGATGTAACAACAATAAAAAGTAACGACAAAAATTATATACAAAAAATGCTATGGATTTGAAAAAAATGCTATTATATATATATATATATATATATATATATATATATATATATATATATATATATATATATATATATATATATATATATATATATATATATATAAATTTATATATATTATATATATATATATATATATATATATATATATATATATATATATATAAATTAAAGTTGAATTAATTAACCTTGACATTAAAATAATTTTTGATAAAGAAAAAAAAAAGTTAAAAAATTTATAATCATAATGATTTAAAACTTAATATAAAAATATATTAAAATATAAATTTATAAATTATTGTTCATTTAGACATTTGTTGGGTGCATCTTTATTTTTGCTTGCGCGACTCCATTATTACCATGCTCTACACTACCTCAAAATAAGTAAGTTTTTATTTATATATTTTTTTACAAAATACAATTTTCAACTATAAAAGTTTTAAATTAGATAAATGTAATTCGACAATTCTTTGTGAAAATTTGATATTTAATTATTTTTTATTTTTAACTAAGTTACCAACCAGAATGAAATTACGATAATGTCGGTGTTTAAGAATGACAAAATCGGTGTTTAAGAATGTCATTTTAGTTAGTTATAGTGTAACATCCGAATTAGCAAGTTTATTTATTATTATTTGAGGTTCATCATAGTTTTGACACCAACTAGTCAGTAAATAAATTGACAACAAAAGTTTTTATTTCATTTTTAGAATTATAAATTTAAGTTACGGTTAGGGTTTATATTTGTGATAACATTAATTTATTATACATTTAAAAAATTCACATACCCTAGCGATAAACGTTTATGATTAAAGACAAGCTCGTAAATCTTTTCAATATATCATAAACAAATTTCATTATTTAAAAAACGTAAGTAAAATTTTGAAAAACATTTGAAGAACCGGAAAAATTCTTTATCTTAAAGTAGCCAAAAGCAATAGAAACATCAAAAAATACCAATTGTGACTGTTACAAAGAAAAACCATTTGTTTAACCACGCGAGTTAAAAAAAGTTTCAAACTTACTAGTTGCTGTTTCCCAAATAATTTTATAAAAAATGACACTAAAAAATGTGGCTAGTAAAAACCATTAGATTTTAAGAATAATTCTACTGTTTTAAATTCGCCAAGGATAAGCCTTTGCAGTTTTGCCTTGCCAGTTTGTTTTGCCATGCCAAATAAATTTCGTATTACTTTTTATTCAATTAAATCTTTTTACTGTAAATGTTTATAAATTCTCCAATAATTTTAAATTGTCTAATTTTTTTTTCTCAACTATCAGTTCTTTGAAATTTGCTCTCTTCATCTTTTTTTCTTGATTTAAATAATTTGCAATTTTTTAAATTGTCTGTTAATTATCATTTTATTTTATAAACTTCATCTTTCATCTTCCAATATCTTTCAACACTAATAATGGTTGCTTGCAGCCTTGTTGGTAGTTAAAAAGTTTAAAAAAATATTAGCTGCATATTCATTCACAAATTTTTCGAATCTTATTTACATATACAGTACAACTCTTAGCACTTACCTGTATTCTTTAATCATACGATTTACAAAGTTTAATAAACGATACCAAAGATGGTCTTTGACTGTTATCTGCGCTTTAACTGTACCAAAGTAGTCTTCAGCTGACATTCTGAAAAAATTTAAATTTTTTCAATGAAATCCTTAAAATCATAAATGTGTTTATTTTATTGGTGAAAATATAACTTTTTATTTGGTTCGTCTGCGTTACCTCTTTTTAAAAGGTTAATTTTGATCTCTGTTCAATTGTGTGCTTGGATACCACTTTAAATGCCGTCAGAAGCGTAAGTTATTTTTAAGGATTCTTTTTATTCCATTTGGTTCCTGTATAAAATATTTTATTCGTGAATTTTTAATCATGCTAAAAAAAAGTGTTGCGAAAGTAAAATTTTGAAAATTTTTTTTTTCACTTAGGGGTCGCCCATAATTTACGTACGCCAAAAAATTTGAAATTTGACCCCTCCCTCCCCCCTGTTGCCTTGCGTACTTCTAAATCCTTAAAAAGTACCTACGTTTTTGAAATACCCACCCCCCAAAAAAAGCTTTTTTTTTTCAATAAAAAAGTTTATGGAAAAAAAAAACATACTTTAGATACTTTAGCTACTTTATACGACTTATAATCTCTTTGTTTGCGGCACAGGATCCCAGCTTAAAAAACGTCTTCAAATATATATGCTAAAAATAATTTAAATAAAACTTACACATTTCAATGTGTTCGCTCGGCCGAGCGAACACATTGAAGCGTTATGATGTGACGGAGTTCGACTTTTGGTATTGTCATTATTTACTTTTTTTTTTTTTAATGACAAACTAAATGAAAATATACTATACTTACAGCGGACGTTTTTTTCAGGCAACCATTTTTAGTATGTCCGTAAAAAACGAGTCTTACGCGTAATCAGTAGTATCGAAAATAAAGCCTAAAACCCAGTGCCGAGGATAGGCAACCTGTACCTCTTTGGGGAAAAAAATTACGTGCCCGTTTGCTAATTTAAGTAACTTTTTATTTTAGCAAAACCTAGCAGTGAAATTTGGGAGATTTAATGATCCAAATAACAATATTTTTTCGTTTCTAGAAATAGTTTGCCTGAAATACGGCTTACTCAGGGTCATTATATATAGGTTGGCATGTGTGTATGGGCGTCCGCAGGATTTTTGATGTTCCAGATTGCCCTTACCCCTGCACAAATATAAAGGCGCTAATGAAGTAGAATTTCAACTTTACTTTAAATTTAAATTTATCGACATATTTGTAATTTCGTAGAAAAATATTGTAAATCACAAAGTTATGGCAATGCAAAACTTACACACCATTATTTTATTTTTTTATTTTTTTTTGGGGGGGGGGGCTTTCGGGGTATATTTGTTCCCAGGCCTCCGTCTTCATTTTTCGCAAGGCCTCCTCATTTGGCATAGGTATAAACATAAAAAAACTTAAAGTGTGCACAATGTGTGAAATTATCGTATCTGGAACATCAAAAAATTATGCGGACCCCTACGCATGTGTGTGCATTGAGGGAAACTATATCTTTAACCAAACATTTTTTTATGTTGGAAAACAAGAATCTCTAGTCAGAATTTTAACTTATCTATTGATTAGCTGGTTAATTGTGATAAATTAGAAAATTGATGTACGTACTTTTATATTAAAACCATTTAACGGTTTTGTACGTTTTTTGAAGACTTCTCCTCCCCTATAAGTGTACGTAGTTTATGCACGACCCCTTGTTTTTATTTGTTTTTGAATAAAAAAATTTTTAAGGAAAATTTACCCTCTTCTATTTAAAATTTACTCATAAATTTTGTATCAAATTTTACCGGAAAATTTACATCACTACTAAAAAGCGTATACAAGTAAATACGAAAAAACGTAAAAGATAATTATTATCTTTGGTTCATAGTTACTTAATGTACTGTAACATCGCCTAATATAATGTAACATCGCTTAATGTACTGTAACATCGCTTAGTGCACTGAACACATCACTTAATGTAATTTAACACTGCCTAATGTACTTTAACTTCACTTAATGTACTGTATCATTGTTTAATATACTGTAACATCACTTTGTATTGTGTAACATCGTTTTGGCAAGTACTAGTAATTTAAAACTGAAAAGCTCTGCTGTAAACAAAAATATCCATGTCGAATTGTATTTAGTGCTAAAAGAAGAACCTTGCAAACTTCTCATCTGTTTACTCGGAAAATTAAATATTTATAAAATAAATTTACATCAAACTTAATCTTAATGTATAGAACTATGATAGGATTGATGTCAAAATTATTTGAATCTTATAACTTCGTTGTTCCAATTTATAGTTTAAAATTGAGCTCAAACTCCATTAAGTATCATTTTTGGACAATAAAAATCAACTAATAAGAAAAAACCCTTTCTAGATTCATTTGAAAAGAAATCTAAACGATTCTTCTTATTTAAGGATTGCCATATGCTTGATTTTAAATCTTTCTTTTAAAAAAAGTTAAATTCAAAAACAAAAGTTATGATGAAGTTAAAAAAGTTTTTATTATTAAAATCAATATAAAAAAGTTTATTAACGATATTACCTCTCTCTCAGAATGGTATTTAGATGTGAGTAATATTTATTTGTTTTTTGCTACTGTAGAAAATGTTAAGCAGATTAAAATTTTTAAGTGCATTTAACTGCAAGTACTTCGAATTTTTGCGGTGGCTATTGTTAAAGACAAAAAACTTTGCGTCTAATGATCTCGTTTCAACATATTTGTTGTATAGGCAGGTTTGGCGCCTAACCATTCATATATATAATTATATAAATAATTTATTTATTTAATAAGAAACTAATTTTGTACTATTTGATTTTGCTCGTTTTCGTTCCCAACATTTTGAATTAACTAGATTTTAATAAATAATGAGACTTTCCAAAATACTTTTTATACTTAAAATTTTTAAAAATTTCTTTTAACTTTTGAACTAACTTTTGTACTTTTAACTTATAAATATCTTTATTGTTATTATCCGAATTTCTTTAAGGTTTTAAAACTTCAATTCTTTGAAAAAATTTTTAAAACTTCTTTCATAATTCTTTTTGTTGTTTAGTAAACTGCGATGGGTCCTTCTATTGATTATTCAAGTTCTTATTAATGTTGTAAATAATGCATGTTTTATTTGCGTTAACATATTTTTGGGTAATAGTGTTGAACATGATCTTTTGGGTACAGTTAATGGTTTGGGAATGTCAGTATCTTGCATTGGAAGGTAACTAATTTATTTTAAACTTTGAAATTTTATAGACTAATTTAAAAACAATTTCTCATGCTCAATATGGTATTAGAACCTAGTTTTTAACTAGAAGCTAGTTTTTAGCAAGAAAACCAATTATGCCGAAACTGACAATGTTCAAATTTTAAAACCGAAACCTAGTTTTAGCTATAAAGCTGTCAAAACCGAAAGAGAAATTGAAATTAATAAAAAAGGGATTGCGGTGCTGGTTTTTATCTGAGAGGATACTAAAAAATAAAAGTATTTTTCCTTTTTTTTTAAACTTATATTACACTATATAAGGTGTACGTAAAATTAAAAAATTCCGTTAATTGTATTTCTAATAAATATATCTAAAAAGTTAAGTTATTTTTTTTTGTTTTTAAATTCAACAGTATATTTTATGGAGGGGTTTTATTTAACTTTTTTTTTCAAAACAAAGCGAGCATGGGTATTTTCTACATTTGTTGTAGGTTATCAGCTGAAATGAATTAACATAGGCTATATTAAGGGCTCTATTTTCTATATTTTACAAAAATGCTTCAGCTATGACTACCATCAGCAATGAACCATATAGACTTATCTTATGTAAAACACGGAATTTATCTTTGAATAAAAAGTAATAATTGCTTAATTGCTTAAAGTTTAGTTACCAGATGTATATCTGAAAGACTTAATTTAGTCTAAGTTTTTAAATCCTCCAAATTATTGTTCAATATGTCAACAAAAACAGGTATTGCTCCATCGATCGGTACAGATTAGTGCTGAGCATTATTTTGACCAATCCGGATAACAGATTACAATTAATTAATCCGAATTTCGGATTAATCCGTTTTATCCGGATTCACAGATCCAATCCGTCGATTCGGATTTCGGATTCAATCTGTTGATTCGGATTTCGAATTTAATCCGGCTTTATTGTTTTTGAGATAATCAGCTATATTTTCATTACTATAAAATTATCAACCTAAATGATTCGAATTACGATCTCAGATCTATTGACAATCTACTCAATATAAGACCCGTAATAGCAAATACACCAGGGTTTTTGAGTTTTTCACAATTTATTATTAGATACCCACCTATGAAGTAGGAGCTATGAATTAGAAAGTAGCAAGTAGGTATTTACTATTTTTATTAATAAAAAAAGGAGATGTTATGTGCGTATTTGTACGCAATTCAAAGCCAAATCTAACCTCATGTGGTTTTAAAATAAAAAGTCAAAGGTGTTAAAGTTTATTTTATTGATTTTTCTAATCAATTAATATAATTTTTTCATTTTTTCAAGTTATAAAAAAAAAATTATATATAAATTATAATTTAGCATTATGTGAAAGAAATAATAACCATTTGGCTGTTTCACCAGCCAGACAAATTCTTTTTGGAGTTTTAATGTTTCCTGCATTGAAAAAAGCTCTTTCAGATGGAGTAGATGTTGATGGTATACATAAATATTTTTTGGCAAGTTTCAAAATCATTGGGTATCTTTTGCTCCTTTCAGCCCACCATGTTAATGGACAAGCATTTTTGTTGATACAATTTTCTCTTAAATATTTTTCAAGCTCATTTTGTTGATTAACATCTTCACCACTGTCATTTTGGGGAATTAAATATCTAAAGCAGATACCATGGACCTTGGCTGATTAATAGAATCATTAACTGAAGAATCTTCATAATTTAATTGATGCATAATAAAATCTTTTAAGGTAATTAAAATATCACTTTCATTATCAAAAACATTTTTATAACGTGGGTCTAAAAGTGAATCAATATTTAAAAGAAATATAGAATCACTGTGCATTTGACTAAAAAATCTTGCTTTGAACTCTTGTGACAATGTTTCTTTTAATATTTTAATTTTATGTAGGTCAGATTCGTTGGGAGTCAAATAGTGTTGGGCATTGCTTTTTAAAATAGGATGTACAGTTAATATTGTTGGAGTTGTTGCAGATGACAAGACTTTAGTAACAAGATCGAAAGGCTTGAGCACTTTTACTAACTGCTCCAATAGCTCCCATTTACTTTTGCTGAGTTCCAGTGACATTGCTGTTTTTTTTTTTTTTTATGTTTTTTTTTTATTTGCATTCACTTCCAACAAGGCTGCAAGTAACCACTATTAAGTTGGGAGTTATTAGGAAAAAAAAAAGAACAGAGATATAGAGCAAGGAAACGGTTGACAGAAGACTTGAAATATTGAAGGTTGTATGAGTCAGGAAAACATGAAGATGGGAGAGAGTTCCAAAGGATTGAAGTGCGGGGGAATAAACTAGATGAATAAAAGTTTTTAGAGCATGCAGGGACAGATACAGTAAACGAATGAGACTTAGCTGAATGACGAGTAAAACGATAATGAATTTTAGTTGATGGAACTAGAGACGATAACTCCTTTGAGCAGTGACCATGATAGTATCTGTAGAAAAGAGAAAGAGATGCAACTTTACGACGATGGGAAAGAGGTTCAAGCATAGCATATAGTCCAGCTCCAACAACATTTACAATGCGTTTTTGGACCTTGTCAAGAAGAGAAAGTGAATCGTTAGAAGAACCAGCCCAAACATGACAAAAGTATTACATACACGGACGATTAAGAGATTTGTAGAGGTAGAGAATGGAATCAGAAGTAAGGAAATGGCGAGCACGATAGAGAGAAGCAACCTTAGCAGAAGCTAATTTAGCAATCGATTGATTATATGGTTTCCATGAAAGGTCAGTAGTAAGCGATAATCCATAAAGACGTATAGAGGAGGACTCAGTAAGAGGATTGCCATTCATTATTATAGGAATGTTGACCATATTACGGTAGTTGTTTGCAGTAAGCAATTGGGTTTTTCCAGAGTTGAAATTCACAAGCCACTGTGAACCCCAATCTATTACTGAAGTGAGATCAGATTCAAGATCAGCTGCTTGTTCTAGGCGATCGAAAAGAGAAGACTTTTTGTCAAGACAGGAGTATAAAGTTGAGTCATCAGCAAAAAGAGCTACTTTAGATGAAAGGTTGACAGGAAGATCGTTTACGTAGATAAGAAACAAAACAGGGCCCAGGATGGAACCTTGGGGAACCCCAGAAGTTACTGGAAATAAAGAAGAGTGTTGGCCTTCAAGGATGACTTTAATAAACCGGTTAGAAAGAAATGATTTGATAATCTCAAAAACTTTCCCAGAAACACCATATGAAGCAAGCTTATGGAGAAGAACAGCATGCCAAACTTTGTTGAAAGCTTTAGATATGTCGAGAGCAATAGCCTTAGCCTCACCGCCTCCATCTAATGCACGATAAAATCTTTCAGTTACAGCAGTTAGCAAGTCGGCCATAGAGCGAGAGGATCGAAAACCGTATTGATTATCTGACAGCAGTTTATTTGACTCAAGATGAGATGTGAGGAATTTGTTGATTAAAGACTCAACCTTGTTAATAACAGAAAGAAGACTGATCGGACAATAATTGGAGGGGTCAGAATTTTCTCCAGAGTTTTTGAATATTGGAACCACAGATGCCATTTTTCAACAAGCAGGAAAACAAGACTCAGTCAAACACTTGTTAAATAGTGTAGAGAGAATTGAAGAAAGTTCTGGAAAACAATTTTGCAAGACTGTGACAGGAATGTTGTCTGGACCACAAGCTGTAGACGAGTTTAATTGAGATACGACTTTAGCAACAGAGGCCGGAGTGATTTGAATGTCTAACAATGGGTCAACCTGTTTGACTGGAATGGAAGGAAGAGAATGTCCATAAGATTCAAGAGTGGAATTAGAAGAAAAGTTCTTTGCAAACAGTTCTGCCTTATCTCTGGGAGAGGTAACAAGATCAGTCCCATGAATGAGAGATGGAATGTTAGATCTACCCTTGTTAACAATGCTGTTGAAGATTTTCCAAAAGTCTTTAGAGCCTAACTTCTGCGATAAGATGCGAGATTTAGTGAACTGAGAATAATGGAGTTAAGCATTAGAAATCACCTTTTTGCATCGATATCTTGCAATAATAAATAGCCGTTTGTTCTCAACAGAGTTGTTCTTTTGAAAAAGAAGAAAAAAATGAATACGATTGGATATAGCAGCCGCACAAGAAGGAAAAAACCATGGAGTAGAATGAGGCTTGACTTGAAACCGACGAGAAGGAATAAAAGCTTCCAATCCAGCCTGAATCCAGGTGGTTACGTAGGAAGCGCATTTGTCAGTTGAGAGAGAAAAAACATCAGCCTAAGGACCATCACGAAGAAAATTACGAAAGGAATTCCAATCAGCTTTAGGGTAGTAGTACGTGGTGCGATGATAAGGTGAGCCCAAAAAAGAAGTACGAGAAGAAAGATTTATAGAGATCATTGCATGGTCAGAACCACCTAAGGGAGAAAAGGGAGAAACTGAACATAAGCTAGGGTCAGGGACAAGACATATATCAAGGAGTGAAGGTAAATGATTAGGGTTGTCAGGAAAACAAGTCAGGGTTAGGGTTAGGGTCAGGGTTAGGGTTAACAAACAAGTTAACTATCTGAGTAAGAGATTGAGAAACGCAGAAGTTAAAGGCTTTAGTGCCAGCAGGATCAGTGGTGTTAGAGCTAAGCCATTCAGTGTGATGGGCATTAAAATCACCAACAACAACAATATTGGCAGAGGCGTAAAGAGAGAGGGCATGGTCAATTTGATCAGAGATACCATCTAAAAGAATGCAATCATGGGAAGAAGGAGAACGATAAAGAAAAAAGAGAAAGGTAATAGAGTAAAGAGGTGCTAGGCGAAAGCACATAAAAGAATGGTCAAAGGATTCGAACCTGATTTCACGACAAATAAGGGAATGTATACCCATAAACCTAGCATGTGACTATTGGAGTCTTTACAAATCAAAGGATAGTACCCATCAACACTGACATCTGAAGAAGGAATTGCAGAATTTAAATTTGTTTCACTGAGTGCAAGCAAATCTGGTGAATTTTGCAAGAGGTAAGACTCAACTGATGGAAAGTTGCTTCAAAGACCGCGAAATTTGTAAAAGATATATTAAA